GACTGATGATCCTGAGATTCAACATACTCAGCCTGCACCTAGTGAGAGGCAGACAGATGCACATGTCATGCCTGAGAAAAAAAGGGCAGTTTATAAATGAAGAACAGGATTTTGTGTTATACGTCATGCTGAAATGAGACGCTCCCCCCTGCTGATGATGCTGGAAAATGAGAAGACGTGATTATAAAAGATGTGTTAATTACAGCAAGAGATCCATCAGTCATTCTCCCTCTCTGTGCCGCAGATTATTCCTCCCCTAGTCAGCTCAGTTTGAAGTGCCCTTCACAGATCACAGACTCCACCTCCATTCACCATACCCCATCTCACCGCTGATAGAGACACATTCAAATTTAATGGCAGGGAGACTGAACAAAAATAGAGAGAAAAAAATGTAATTTATCAGGATACTAGAAAACAAAACTGTCTGTGTGCATGTCAGAAAAAGACAGAAGGTGCGATCTTGTCAGACAGGATACGGGAAAAGAGAAGGGCCTCGGGCAATGAGAGAGGATGTGATTGATATGATGCTCCTGATAAAAGAGAGAAGCGGAACAGCAGAGGAGGAACGTGGATTAGAAATGTTGTACACACTGACTTCATTCAATATGGTTGTTTTCATTAGGCTTAGAGCAGGACATCAATAATCCAACACTCACAGCACCAACTGTAATTGTGTAGACATGGTGCTACTGGTGCGTATTCAATACATTTGGAAAACAAAAGCAGAGTAACTAATAAATAATTACAATAGAGCTGTGTGCACGAGTGGGAGAGTTGTTATTAAAAAGAGGCTCTGGTGAAGTTACGTAGTTCTCTTATTTAGGACTCTGATGACTGAGCAACTAGTGAGTGTGTTAGTTGAACCAAAAATGTTTTTTTTTTTGAAGTGAACTATCCTTTTAATGCCACATCAAACCCGTATGCCTTTCTTTTATCTATGGAACCCAAAAGCAGATGTTTGGCTGGATGTTCATGCTGCTCCATACATCGAATGAGGATGCTGCCACTCTAAAATAACCACACAAGAAAAAGACCATTAAAGTAGCCCATACGGCTTGTGTGCTGTATTTCCAAGTCTTCTGAAACCGTATGATAGCTTTGAGTGAGAAACAGACTGAAGTCATTAGCACTGCATCATTCATGTTCGCCTACATTCAGATACCTACATTCATGAAGACCTGTCATGCCAAGTTTGACAGCATTACTTGTTAACTGTCTCAAAACTGTCACTCACACAAAACTATGTTATGGCTTTTACTACACTGAAAAAAATCTGAAAAGTAAAAAGACTAAAATTGTATTTTCTTGTAAAAACATACTCTAATAATCTTTAATTTACTTGATTAACTTAAAAATTACTGTGTACTTTCATAGTTTTTATTTTTTAAGTTTGATGGTGCCTGTCCCCATTCCATTCCTGTGAAAAAAGTGCAGCATGAACATTCGTCCATACATCATTTTTTGTGTTCCACAGTCCTGCAGTCTAATGCAGGGATCTCCAACCCTGCTCCTGGAGAACTAGGCTGCGTTCCACTCCACTTTTAGACACGCACTCGCGAAATTCCCTAAGCACTTCCCCTCGAGGGAATCCCGCTGCCATTTTGAAGTGCGTTCCACTTCGTGAAGTGGACGAGGGAAGTTTATATGGACAGACCCTCGACCCCTCGATTTTGACCGAGGGAGCGAGTCTGCTTCATATGCACACTTCAGGCCACTCCATAGACCACAATGCAACACGATTGTGACGTCATCACAGATCGCATTTAATTTATCCCCACCCCAAACAACTCTATAATATATAAATTAATTTTTTCTTTTACATTTATAACAGCCCAAGCATACCTATATACATATAGAATGCTGCACCAAACAAATTCGTAAGGGGAAAAATGTAAACAATAAACCAACTCCATAACGGATTCTAAGTGATCAAGGGCTTAGGACGTTCCAGTCAAGCCCATTCCAAGGGTTCCACCAGAATTGAGCACTCATGCTACGTAATCAATGACGTACATCCGAGTAAACGAGACGGAGGGAAGTTTGCGAGTGAAGGGCATAAAAAAACGAACTGGAACGCAGCCCTACTGTCCTGCAAACCTCAGTTCCAACCTGCTCCAACACACCTGCCTGTAATTCAAGTAGCTTAATTAGCTGCTTCAGGTGTGTTTGATTGGGGTTGGAGCTGAAGTCTGCAGGATGGTAGCTCTCCTGGAGCAGGGTTAGAGACCCCTGGTCTAATGGGTTTGAAACAACATGAGGGTGAGAAAATGATGACATTTTCTAAAAGAACAATCCAGTACCATTATCTTGACACCTTCACTTAAACCTGTTTTAAAGATTACACTTCCACACCAGCATTAGTCATGTTATAGGAGATTTTGTATATATTTAACTTTGCATCAAATTAATTAAAGTAAATAAATTAATTTTAAATGAAGACAATTATCCGTTATTCATGATCTATTCCTTATTACAAGTCTCTGGGCGACTGTTTCTGGCATGCCAGACCAGCTCCTCTGTACTTGAACAAGGAAATATTGAAATCTCAAAAACTGCTTGCTAAACTCGCATTCAAATAATATATTTAATATAAAAACAAATAAATCTGACATGCACTCATGTCTCATAATTGTTTCCTGTGCTCACATAGCATTAAAAAAAGCATATTTCAGGTTGGTAAATCCAACGTATAGCTATGTGCAGTCCTTAGTGCTTGTCTCAGGATGAGTGAACCATTTTGGAATATATACAGGTTTGATGGTTAATTGCTGCATTGAGTGCCGGTGAAATACTCTTGAGTAAAGGCCCGTTCACACCAAGGACGATAACTATAAAGATAACGATAAAGATATATGTTCTAAAAATCGTTCTCAATATTAAAGAATAGCAGAGTCCACACCACAACTATAATGATAAAGACAAAGAGAAACGATATCGTTGGAATCACTTTCGAAACGATTTTTCTCCAGCTGATGAACGATAAAGAATTGACAGCCAATCAGAATCCCCCCTGCTGTAACGAGCTCGAGAATTTAAAGCGGCAGACGAGCGTGCGCTTATAATAAACAGACGATATCGTTCACTGGTGTGGACGCTAATATCGTTATCATTATAGTTATCGTTCTTGGTTCGTTCTTGGTTCTCGGGGCGTAATGACCGCTAAACTGTATATTTGACTGTTTTCAATGGCAACATACTAATTATGTCTCTCTTATGACTCTGTACTCTGGAACTTGAGTGTTATTTTAAATGTATATTGTGAGCATAAAATCTTTGATACATGGCTAAAATTTTCCAGTTACAGCAAGAAAATTAAAACATCACTCAAAAGGAGGAGGAATCAGTAAAAGACAAAGAGCTGAGAAATTGATAGAGGAAGATAAGTTGCATTGTAGCTCAATATGTTAGCTAATTAATAGAAATAGTGCCTTGGATTTCAGATTCATAGTAACAAATTACATAACATAAAAGAAGCAGTGTTTGTCTTGTTATAGGGATGAGATAACCTCAAAAATAAGTTAAGATCAAATCAATATTTTATGTTCATACAAACAAGTATATGGGCGTGAAATATTGATTTGAGTTGAAATTGTTTGGTTAGTAGGATGTAATAAGCGGCATAATGTCCATTCAGCTGGTCATAAGGCCCTTAATCACCCTGTCTGGATTTATTTTCTGATGGTGACTGTACATCATCCCTTACATAATCTGTCCTATAACGAACTGGAACCATTTTCATTTTTCATCTAGGTTTTTAATTTTTTTTTATTTTATTTGATTAATATTTACATATTCTTATATATATTTATAAATTCTGTTATTTTATTAAAATATACAATTTGGATGAAGTAAATAAAATGTGACAGCATTTGCTCTTAGTTTGTCTTAGTTAAAACCGAAATTAGTCAAGAACACTGATTTTTTTTTATTTTTTATGTTTTCTTTAATTGGTTAGAAGTGCAGAATCTCTTCCTTCCTGTCTGGCTCTCAGAGGTCTGACGCTGTTAATGATTTTCACTAAAGACTGATAGTTTCCCATTAATAAAACTGAGAAGGAAATACCATTGAGCACGTGCAAGAGGTATCTACTGTAGGTTAATTAGACAATAATTGGCATTTGTGTAGTGAAAGGTTACAATATTTTGGCTTGAAGGATAGCAGCGAAAATGTCACATTAACATGTAGTACAACCATTATAGAATTCATTTGGCCTTTTTCAAGCAAGACTGTTATCATATGCTACAAAAATATTGGCATCTTCGGACTGCCCTTCTTTCCCAATGTTTGAGTTATTGTTGCGAATTAGTCTGGAATTGATTGCCTTAATGTTTTGGAATTTATAACTGATTTAATTTCTTACACCCAGAAAATTTCCATGGTCAAAAATGACTGGAGCCGAGCTTCCTTTAGTACTTTAATAAGGTTCCTATCTCAGTTGAAACAGCTTGTTTCTGACGCTTCAAGCAACGAAAGGTTATAACTGAGATTTGGGAAATAAAATATAATTTAAACAGAGCCTTGAGGAACCGTGTAATTGATTTAGTTAGGCAGTTCTGGGCCGAATAACATGTTTACTGTTCAGGCTGAGGGAAAGGTTTTGTGACATTCTTTACCAACAAAAAGACGACTGAAACACAAATGTCAAACTTGGTGACTCAAGGTCTCTTGGTGAATAATCTAAATATATCCAGAATCTAGCAAGCAATACACTGGCCAGAAATGATACTCGTAGGGCATCAAAATCCAAACCATTCTATGTGCACTTTATTTACAATGATTCACTAATATTACAATCCTTAATCTACATGTCACCATCTGCATACAGTCCTGTAGCCTCATAAGTGAGTGCAGAGCATTGGCAAGCCTGGAAATACAGTTTAGTTTTTAACTACAAAAGGTGCTAAAATAAAATCATTTTAAAAATGAAGAGAATAGAGAACATAATATAAATGAACATACAAAAATGATTTGATTCATCTTGTTAAAATGTCATATTTTGTCTGCTTTGTCCTACCATTGGCATGTCAAACCAAAAGAACGCTAGACATCCTTTATGTAATGGCTGATGTATTGTGTTCAGTAAGGTTTATGTAGCAGTTGTTCCCTGGCTCGTACTCGTCTCTATTACAAAGGCAAAAGGGTGAGTTCAGTTCGCACACAATGATTCAACTACGCAACTTCCTTTAAAGCACTGTCGTTTAGCCGCTCCATGTAGTTTCGTAGTTCCTTGGAGTCGCCAAGCTCAACATCCTGACATACCCACTTAATGTCATTGTCAGGATCGACTCCCAGATTTTCCTTAGCTGGACTAACACTTTCCACAGGGATGGTGGTGAATGTAGTAAACTTCACACGTTTCCTTTTGGTCGTTGGTGAATCACCTTTGCTGTCTTTCCCGGTGCAGACTGTAGCGGTTTCGGCTCCTCGGTGCACCTGGCCTTGAACGTTCTTCTGCAAAGAACCGCCGTTGAGAAGGTGGCTTCCTTCTTCTAACCCTCCTAAACTGGAGTCCATAATGGTGATGTGCTCATCGGTCTGCGGAGACAAACTTACATGGCTCTCCAGAAATTCGGCGTCATTTCCCAGCCACACCCAGTCGTGGGCATGGTTCAAGCTCTCCTGGCCCTCAATCGACATCTCCTTGTGTCGGTACTTGAGAGTATATGAGATGCAATTGATGAGGAAAACCAGAATAGCCAAACAGAAGACGCCTAACAAAGCGTACATCCCAATTTCAAGGTCGGTAAGTCCATGAGGTATTTGAAGGTCGTCCTCATCCACGTTATGTCCTCGGGGAAGGTCCACTTGCGCGGGGAAGTCTGAGAAGTCAATGGGATTGCCGGGCAACTGGCTCCCATCATCTGAGAGCTTGTCTCCACCTGGTCTCCTGATGATTGCCGTTTTGGTTGTGGTGGTGATTCTTCTCATGATACTGTCCTCCATGTCTGAGATGGAGCTTCCATAGTAGTGGTTGTCCATTCCGGTCCTATCCGGGAGAGATGGGTTCTGTCTGCGGTCTCCTGGTCTGTTGTTCATGTCGTCTCCATCCTGGCCGTAGTCGCCGGGTCTCAAGGCGCTTTCGCTACGACCAAACTTCACACGGATGTTACAGTTTCCAGCCGCCAGGACGCTTCGACGCTTAAATTTCTGACACACTTCAGATACCGTCATTTCCACGTGCACCAGCAGACCTTGACCCTCGGCATGGGCAAAAATGACCGGCCACCGGCCTGCTGCATCTTGCCGTACGGACACCATATCCTCATCCAGAGAAGTAGCAGTCAAAACAAAGTGCTCTGGGTTGTATAGGTCCAGAGGAGCCATGGAGCCATCACTGAACTGCAGCCATGCACTGATCAGCGCCTCCTACAGAGCGCAAAGAGAAAAACAAAAGATACGTTTGACTGTATCAGCAATAAATGCATGATATATTTCTACCATATCAGCTATTGCAGGGGTGTCCAATCCTGTTTCTGGAAGGCCACTGTCCTACAGAGTTCAGCTCCAGCCTCAACTGAACACGTCTGAACCAGCTAATCAAGGTTTGTTTAGCATCACTAAAAACTTTTAGATTTGTGGCATGCATGTAGTGCATGCATTTGTGGCAGCATATGTTGTGGCAAGTTGGAGCTAAAACGTTAGACAACCTTGAGCTCGATATTTAATTGTGCATGATAATTTGCTCTTTTGTAACATTTACATTACTTTGCCATCATCTAATGCTCACCTAAAGTTAATCTTTAAAAAAAAAAAATCTTTAAATGCTGTCTTTAGCAGATCTCAAAATGAATATCTATTTTTCATACTGTACATAATGCTGTGATTCCTAAATTCACTTGCAGCACTTAAAATGACTGATTTTAGTGTTTATTGTTATTTTTAACCTATTTAGACAAAATAGTAGAATTTTCTCATCAACATATCTCATTCAGTACAAGGGCAGCACTAGCGAGTCTCAAATCTCAAGATCTATCTACATTGTTTTTAGCCATTATAGGTTCATAATGCAAAAGCCACTTGAAATGAATATTCTGCCTCATAAAAGCCTTATTTTGACCAAATTTGAGTCAGAATCTTTAGAAGGAACTGTAACATATTACATCAAATTTTAAGCATAATATTTCAAATCAGCAATAAAATATCAGAATAGTGTCATATATTTTGCCTCTTTTTGCATTTTCAGGCTGGTCTAGCTAAGGCACATGCACCTTCTAGAGTAAAGAAACATTACTAAAAAAAGTTTTTTTTTGTTTGTTTTTTTAAATCTGCCATCCAGAGTGGTCCGTCTCCTGAAATCAAAGACATACTAAATATCTGCTAAAGGAAACATCTGTCATGACATTTTTTCCTCCAGAACCCCATGTGGTGACACACATGTGAAATATTTCTAGCATAAAGTCACTAAAAACAAAAATATAAGGAACAAAATCACAACGCGTCTTCATGTTTTTGTCACAGGTGCCATTCTGCAAGATGGAGATTCATCTCATTATGAATGTTACGAATGACAGACTATTAAATCATTTTTAAAATAAAAACAAAGCAAAATAGTTTCATGACCAATAATAGATGTGTATGGACAGTGGATTTGATCAATTCTAAAAGTTATGTATTAATGGTGTGTGAGTGGCTACTCATCAGGGGCCTCATTTATAAAATGTTGCATATAAACCGTCCTAAATTTGTTCTAAGATAATTTCTCAAAAGTGCGTAAGTGCGATTCAGAGAAAACTAACGTTCGCACAAAAACACGTACGTACGCCTCTCTTCCAGATGTGACATTTATGTATGTATTTATGTATGATGTAAATGATCTTGAAATTGTGCGCAGCTGACTGGTGTCAGACCTCCGCCTTGTAAACGCCCCCTAATTAATATCATTACCATATAAAAGAGCACACGCCAATATCAGAATTTCTATGCTTGAGAATGACGAGCACAATGAAAAAAAAAACAAAAAAAAACTTTACTGAGTCTGAAATTGAGGTCCTGCTGGCGGAGGTAGAGGTTTGTGCGGGGACGCTTTTTATTTAATAATGTGTAATTATTCTGTGGACAAACTGTGTGTGTTGTTATATTTTTTCAGTTGACTATGATCAAAATTACTAGCCTACTTCTAGAAACAACAGAAATAATAACAATAATAGTAATAATAAAACAATTAGGTTTCCAAATGTAAGAATAAACTACGAATTCAAGTAAAATTTTCAGTCATCTTATAAAAAGTGAGCCATCCTACTTTTAAAATCACTTGCTATGACAACTAATAAAAAGTTTAGTATCACGAAATTCTTGCAAAACTTGAAAAAACATTATTGAAAGAAAAATTGCACGTTTCATATCATAATAAAATAAATTATTACACGATTATGGTCTCCGGTCTGAAAAAAACCTGCATGTGATTTGGCATTTCTTTATATTTACACAGTTTACTAATGCTGCTCAAATGTGCCATTAATGTAGGCCTACTGACACAAAAAAATATAGTGTATTTTATACAAATATAACTGATGTAAATGACAAAAACAAAGTTTAAGGCTGATGTCTCTATTAATTTTCACAGAAGCAAAGCAGCAGGTGTTATAAATAAAAAACAGTTAACAATGTTATTAAATAGAGTATTAAAAACCGCCATTGCACGACATAGGCCTATTCTTATAGGCTACACAGAGAAAACAGTCGGAGATGCGTCTATGCATTTGTTTTTCTATTTTACGCATTAGTAGTAAATCAAGACTTCACAAGTTCTCTTGTAAAATAAAATAATAAAAAAAAAAAAATGGAATAAACCGTGAACAGAAAGCGAGTAGCCTAAAGAACTCTCAACATTAGGCTACTAGGTCAGTTTAATCTTGCAAAAACTACCGTTAATAAAAAATCTGACTACACTGCACAATTAATCTCTTACACTGCATCTTTGTTTTTCATGATGAATTTGGTGCTTGCATGTACACCACTTTTATTATTATTGCAGCTTAGATGTTCAAATAGCTGCAGTACTCCGACTTTGCCACAAGGAAAAGTGCATACGCCTGCTGGCGGTAAGTACTTTTCCACTTCAAAGACCATTTTTATAAATATGAACGTTGCCGTGGATTTTAGCGTACGCACACTCTAAGATCAAATCTGTGCATACGCACATTTTATAAATGAGGCCCCAGGTCTATGTATGTGTGCCTATGTAGGCAGTAAACAATGAGTTAGTTCCCTCATTGTGGTGGAGCCCATGTGTCACTGTGTTTTACTTTACTAATATACTGTCCAACTCCACACAGCAATCCTTTAATGTAGGCCATGAGATCAGAGTGGTCTCTGCTCTACTTGGTGGGTCAGAAGGAGTCAGATTAAAAGATATGAGGAGATAACACAGTGCTATTACGGATATAGGGCTGCATATAGGGATTTGGAACACACAAGCGTCTTAAGCTCTTCACTTACCAAGACATCAATGCTCGCTGTCCGCGAATAACACGCTACAAATCCTTCTACGGGGGAGGGGAAACTCCCAGAGCACTCTAATCATGCACTGAGCCAGCAAATGAGGGAGGTCATGATAATACTTTAAAAGCATACTGTGATCTCCAGAGGGATTTTGCAGTGTGTTTATATATTCTGCATTTGCAATGTGTTTTAAATAGTTGATGTTTTGTTTTTTGTTGTTGTTATTGAAATAACTGATTTATGTAGATTTTTTCACGCTTCTGATGGCCAGCATTCTTGGAAGATGGACTTATTTGGTATTTATTAGTGCAAAGCTCTATGTGCTGTCTGCAACTTATATTCCAAAATGACTTGTATAATGCAATTAACAGCAAAACATGCGCATATGGACACATTTGGATTTGAGAGAGGTATTTGAGCTCAAGTATTTGTATAGCGCATTTCCCACATGCCTGTCGTTTCCATTTCTTTAACTAAACTAGTTTAGGCTTGGCTTTTACAATAAATGTTGCTTATAATGAATGGCTCTATAATTTATGTATAATTTAGCCAGAAACCTAAGGTGCTTAATATGAGCAACACTATTTGTGTGATGCACTACTGTTTGTAGCAGAGTCGCTGTCTAGGTAGAGTATCCCAAATCAGTCATTTGTGAGGCTCCATTTCAGCTATGGACATTTTAAGCACATTTTACATGGTGCACAGCATCTGCGTGTTCTCAGTTCATTTTCAATAGGAGACACGTGGCAGACCACAGATCAGGGACGACGCTGCACACCACGAAAGATAACCGTTATAGCTTGTTGCTCACATGTGTGGAAAAGTGGCTGTGCACATGAGAGATGGGAGGATCACAAGAAAAACTTGTGGACTAATGCATACAGTGTAAAATACCATTTAGGATGCTGCCTTTGTAGGAAATAGGCAAGTTTTTAAACAGTTTTAGTGGTAATTGTGCATAAAGATGAGGAAGAATACTATTTTCTTTGTTTGAAATGTGCTTGAAATTCATGTTTCCATGAAAAACATCTCTGGTACTTAATATGTATTGTCATATTAAGTTCCACAAGAATAAACCGACTATTAAAGCCTCTGAGATACACAAACACATGTATGTCTTGCTTAATTGAAAAGATTGCGTTAACAGCATTGCACTACTGCTATACTGAGGTGTGTCATTTTGATTAAGACTGTCAACTAGAAGATAATTATACAGAGTCCAGGTACCGAGGCACTGCACACCCACCACCTCCTCCGAGTCCATTAATAAAGCCATAATTAAGCATGGCAGATGCAACCATGGGCAACCATAGTTACTTTCATCCCTGGGTTATATATCACACTTGTGCAACAAATGACCAATGTAGAAAAACACCCCTTAATAGGCTGTTATAGAAAGGGAATTGTGGTGAGTTTCAGACGTGTCGTTATATAATGGACTACTGTTAGTGAATGCAAGTGGAGCATTTTCCTGGAAGAATTTTCCAGAGAAACGCACACCAAACGGTTTTCCAAGAGAGTAAAGCTGACTGAATCTTACTGTGAAAAACATTGTTGATCATTATATTCTGATTAATTAATGACAATTTGTGATTAATTCACGTAAACTAATACATAGATGACATGAAGTGTGTTTCAGTGTTGACTCTCTATTTAAAAAAAAAAATACAGACAGTATTTAACATCTATATTAATTAAGTGCAAAATAATCTGCAATCTGAAAATCTGAATCTACAGTATATTAATAATCTAAAATGCTTAGATCACAAAGAAAATAAGAATTGCTATTTGTTCCTCATACAAGATATTGGAACTAATGATTCATCAGATTATATGCTTGTGTAGATGTGAAGAATTTTAACAATGGTCTGATTTTAATAAGTATTTTCATAAGGTGGATATTTACATATTCATGTAAATAAAAAAGCTTTACACACTTTTCTAAACTACACGAGAACAGCATTAAAGAGAAAATAACCAAATTTGATATAAACACTTGAGATTGTGTTGAGTTAACAGGCAATTCTACATACAGATACAAAAATGTATGCGTTTTAAAATGAGTTATAAAATATTTAACATTAAACAAAAGCTCCTGTCCTGGCCATCATTTCACTGTGGTTCATCTCGTTACATGTTATTTTCATATGAGCGACGAATTAAAAGGGTTTAGCTCTGTAGCTTTGTTGTCAACAATAATTGGATCTTCAGCATAAATCACAGACATTTTTCTATAATTTGTTGGTTTTCTATATGAATATTTCCTTTAAAAAATTCATATTTGTGTGGCAGTAAACAGCACACTGAATCTGAGAACATATTTAACTCTTGCATCGCAAATGCTTCTGGCTCGTGCTGTACTTGTAGCTTCTATAATGATATTTAATGAGATTTAAAAAGTATAACACTAGCAAGTCGTCACTGGTTGTTCAGGAAAAAGGTGAATATTCTGGTTTTGTGCTGTGAAATTACCTGTTTAGGATTGCTGAGCACTTCTTGTGTGGTTGCCGTGGCGCTGATGGCTCGGTTACTTCCTGTGCTGAGCTGCAGGCTGAGTGTGAGCCCACTGACCAACTGCAGGCCCAGTTCAGTGATGGTCACTCGATCATCCACAACCCTCACTGTCTTCTCTGCCAGGATGGAGTCTGACAGCGGGGACAGAACCTAGAGCAGAGCATACACACAAAAGCACATTATTAAATACAAGCATCATAGGCAATCTGGGCTGGTGGAGACAGCGCAGCCCACAGGGATTACCTCCAATTACAGGAAGAAATATCAAAAACACAGAGCAGTAAACCCGTCTAGTGATTGATGCAATAAAAAGGTGTTACAGACAGTCTCCTGCCTACCCACACTTTCACTGCAGACAAGCACATATTAGATATCTGGTCTCAAAGCAGACAGGAAAAACAAAATAAATCCAGATGACTAACACCTCCTCAGACACATGTACGCTGCAATATCAGCCCACTTTACTGAAGAAAAATGGGCTGCGGAAAAGGTAACGTCTTAGTATTGGTTGTGTTCAGCCTTGCAGAAAGGGTACTTTGGGAATACCATGATAAAGTGACGGTACTTGATATACAATGAGTTAATGACAAAGAAGTATGAGAAAGAAAAATCTAGCTTAAAACACGAGACAAGTTGTTAGAAATTTACTCTTTCATGTTGGATTCATGAGGTTTTGAAAACTTGTATAAACTTGTATATGAAAAGTTTAAATTTAAAGGAATAGTTCACCCCAAATTTTTTTTTTCCTGAAAATGTTCTCACCCTCAGGTCATCTATGATGTAGATGAGTTTGTTTCTTCATCGGAACAGATTTGGAGAAATTTAGCATTACATCAGTTGCTCACCAATGGATCCTCTGCAGTGAATGGGTGCCGTCAGAATGATTGTTTAAACAGCTGATAAAAACATCACAATTCACAAGTAATCCACACAACTTCAGTCCTTCAATTAATATCTTGAAAAGCTGCGTGTTTGTAATAAACAAATCCATTAAGAATTTTTTTTTACTTCAAACTGTTGCTTCGGAATCTGAATCAGGAAAGAAATATGCACAGATGAAGCAATGTTTACAAGTGAAAACAATACAAAACAGTTCTAAAATATGTTGGTGGATTTTGATGTGAGAGGACAACAGAGGATGGACTTTTACACTGGAGGAAGAGGTATTATGGATTATGGACCTGTATTTTGGCCAACGACAGTATTTCTACAAATATGAAATTGAAGAGACTTGCTCCTCTCTGATATCATTTCCTATTTAGTTTTTCTCCATGCATTTTGGTCAAACCACATGAATTTTAATTGGCAGACAAACAGTTTTCAAATATTGAAAATATGCATACCTGAATGCTGGTCATGCCTGTGTCCATGCCCTCCAAAACCCGTCCCTCTCTTAGCTTGGCGATTCGTGGATCCTCTACTTTCAGGAAGTCCCAGACTAACTCCGTAATGTCCACCTGCCAATCACTGCCCAGCATGTGGGCCACCTGACCTTGCGTCTCTGAGGATTCAGCCACAAAGTGTGTGAGCACACGCACCATGGCCCTCTGGTACTGTAGAGTACATGTCTTTCCTCTCCGCTCTTCATCATCGTCATCTTCACTGTCCCGCGTTGACCTGGGAATGGAAAGGATACATTTTTGAATCTGCACGCAGAATCTTCAGCATATTTATAAACCAATCATGTTTTTGTTAAACTCTTCAAAGGTTTCATTAAATATTTTTTATGAAACGTTTCACAAAACCTTTTTTTCCCCCAGAAATAACTGTTTGTTGACACTCCTAAATTACGCTTCATTAGGCTGATGCACTTAATCAAGGGAAGCCAATTAAGCATATCAGTTTAATTTAATACTCTGCGACTGAGTGACATTTCCAGCAAAAGCTGGAAATACAATGAAGCATTTGCTTTCATTCAGGACGGATCATCTAGGATTGATGTTAGAGGTCATTGGATCAAGGTAAAGAGATTCACAAAGAACACATTCATATTTGAAGACAGAGCTTAAGGTGATTTAGTAATCAAAGATCAGTTCAAGTATTACAGTCAAAATCACTTCATGAATGTTTATTTATCCCATGCGCATCATCTATGGGTGAAAAATTAAAGTAAAGGTCATAGTGCTCTTTAGATGATTTTTGCGTGGAACAGCAAAAACATAAAATCACTGGAAGAAAAACTCCATGTTGTGTTTAAACATTGAAAATAGATTGCATTAAACTAATTTCTGGCTATCTGTGAGGAAGGTGTGTGTGTGTGTGTGTGTGTGGGGGGGGCGGGGTCCTCTGGATCAGATTACAGCGTGTGTTGTGTTAATGTGACAGATTGACTTTCCTGGTACTGTAATTGAACCCATTTCATAATGCGATCACATACAAGAATTACAGAATGAAAGAATACTCCACTCACATGCAGAACAATTGTTTTGTTCCACCTCATTAATTAATTCTCTCCATTACCACACTCACACACTCACACACACTCACACACTCACACACACTCACACACACACACACACACACACACACACACACACACACACACACACACACA